ACTTATTTTAGATAAGTCACAGGAACCTCCAAACTAGACAATTCCACTGGGAACGTAAAGGCTTTTAAAGCTCATTTTCAAAGTATGGCAGAAAAAGGAAGACTACAGATGGAACAAAAACCTTGAACATATACAATCCTCTCTGCATCAGAGACAAAAGATGGGAGTTGCTCTATTTCTCACAAGGTCCAAGTTAAAAACCCGTATTTTGTACCTCAAAATACAAAACTCTGAACTTGGCCTTGGCAGATAAGCCAGAAAATATGTTTTCATCTACTTTTAGTTATATATAGCAGTTGCTCTAAAAGAGGATGACATTCCAAAAGAATCACTTCTGACAATTGTTGGAGGGAGACAGTGCACTATCAGAAACCACAAAAGTTAACAGCTCATGTACATCACCTCTCTGCCACAACAGGATAACTCTTTTTTTCTTAAAGTTTTTAGCAGTATTATTTGTAAAACTATTACTTCTTCAACCTATTACTTGTAACACTTATGTTACATGCTATTCACCTAGGGCCAGTAACAATTATATTAAGCAAGCATCTGAACAGATTTCCTCAGTTTGCCCCTCCTTTCCACTCACTGGCAATCTTAAAAAACACAGGTGAAGCCACAGATATAGTCCCCTTCTTAGTGTTGCTGCTCAGTCTGTAATCTCTCCAGTTCCTACCTCAGCAATAAAATAAGAAAATCTAGTCAGTCAATCTGCAGTCTATCCAGGTTCTACTTTACTTTCATCTTAGTACCAGAAAAAGAAGACCAGTCACTCCATGCTCTGTCCAACTCCTTAAGGACTACTTGCTCCATTTTGCAGTTCCAAGAACAGCTGCAACTACATCTTGAAACGGAGGCAGAAAAATTATTTCCTTGACCCACAAGATCCACTAAAACGATTGGTTCCTATGCTCAGATAGGGACCAAATTTTTCATGAACAAGCACAGAAGCAACCCACCACCATTGTCCTAATATTCCTAAGCCCAAAGAAAATTGAAAGCAACTGTTCCTGTTATGCAGTAATAGCAGGAAAAGTGAAGATGTATATAAACATTTACCACTACCATTTGCCCCAGCCTTGGTCCTAAGGGAACAGCTAGCAATTTGAAAACAAGCAGTGTGTTAGGGAAGAGAGGGGCAAATGATCATTACCTATGCATAAGGTTGCTACATGGACTCTACTCCAATAGATGAAATAATTTATATTTTACCAGGACAAGAACTGCTATATACAGTACTTTTTCTAGTGCCCCTCTTGTACAACAGAATCAATATATCCCATTTGCAAAGCCTTGAAAAAAATCAGCTGGCAAAAGAGGAGAGTCAGAAGACTACAAAGGATAGTTTTGTAAGGAAAAATGTTTGACCGAAGTGATTAATTCCAAATTAAGAAGCTACCATCAGACACACTATCAAATATCAAGTATCACAGTATTTCAGACATGTGGAGTGAAGAGTGTTTTACCTGTTAAAGGCAAACTTTGCACATTATTTATTTACTATTTACAGACAAAACATGGATATTTTTGAAAACCAAAATCATCATTCTAATTATAAGCATAGAATAAGCACAGAAAGATTACTGTAATGTACACAACTAAACATTAAACCTAATCACATCTTTGACTGGAATTCCAAGAGCCATGCAACTTATGCCTTAAAGGGGCTTTGATTCCACTTTCAAACAGGAGTTTCCTTCCCTCACCACATGACAACACCAACTGTAATACTTTCAAAACCACCTGTGGAAGAGAAGGGATCAGAGTTAAATATCCAACTGAACATGCTCAAGCCCTCAGTTCTGTCTAAAGCACCTCTATGGATCCTTTGCTACAGAACCCAATTTGTTGTATATCTGCCAAGCAATGCTGAGCATGTACAACATATGTTTACAAGTCCTTCCGCAGCCGCAAGGTAGGACATAAGATTTTTTTTCCAGAAAAAGTCTGTAAACATACAGTATTAACATCAAACTGAGAAGCTATCACACTTCTATTGCAGTTAGAGCCTCTCACCTACTTTTGCACCTAGTTGGTTCCAATACACTATCTATATTCTAGACACATAGAGAGATTCAGATTTTATACATGTTAACTGCACAAATACGACTAAAATGAAACTTATGTCCATAGTAACCGATATATTCTAAGAAAAAAGGAACTAATCTGGTACTTTCCAACAGTTTTGTATAGTTACTCTCAAAATCCCTGAACACTGGCCACACTGACTGGTTATACGGTAGTACAAAATATCTAGAGGGACCACGTAGCTCACCCCTACCTATTAGGCATTATGATGAAATATGTCTGTATGCAAAGATATCCTGTAAGTTGGATAAGGTTTCCTAGCACAATCTACTAACTATATAGATGCAGTACTGTACAGTTGTTTTCTTCCATTTGGTACATGTTTGCATGAAGTTGGTCTAACCTGGCAGTTATTGCTACGTCTGTGGAGAAACAGACTTAGTTATTTTCTAATAACAATGTCTCGGGCCTATGACTGCCCTCATTAGATTAAACAACAAAAACTGTTCTGCATATTCAATTTAGAATATTAATTACTTTGGCAAATAACTTTTTTTAAAAGGAGAAAGTACTGTGTCCTAGAATTATGACAGAAAGCAATACAGCTGATTTCAAAAATATGGTACTCATCAGTGAGGAGATAGAAAACTTGTGTAAAATATCAACTTCACTCTTGCAGTAATGATAGATTTTACAAATATATTTCAACTTAAAAGATTTGCATTGTTGGCTCCTTCTTCTGCAGAGTCTCCCAAATGAAATCTTGCATTTACATGAAATGCATTACAGTACATCTATACAAGCCTTCATGTTTTCGTTAATCATGTTTTAAGGCAAGCACAGAGAAAGAACAAGAGAAATTAAACAGCTAGAGCTTGTAATTGCTATGAAAAGATGCAGTACTGTGACGCAGCACTATGGGAAAGACGGTAGTAGTTTGTTTCAGAAATGAGGTTTTCTATGGTACTATGTTAGCATTTTAAAATGACTTCTCTGCAGATGTACGTATGTTCTCAGTACACTAAATGACTATGTGACATTATCTTTAAAATTCATAAAAGCAAAATAATGCAAATATGAAAAGATAAAACAATGTTAGAGACTAAACCTAACTGAAGCATCATAAATATACTTTGTTTCACCAAATCTAGCTAGATTAACTTATTACACTTTACCATCTCCAGTTATACAGAAGAGTCAATCAATGTGGGAATTATTAATGGTTATTTTTAAATAGTAAAGAAAATAGAAACATGGCAAGCAGGAAACAGAAAAATATGGTGACTTACTGCTAATAAAAACTACATCACAATTTTTTTCTGATAGTTTAGCTAAGCAACATACAGTTATCGTAAGGAAAAAAATTTACACTGGACACATATCAACATAGGTGGAATGCTAGATGCTTACTGGTGAGTAAACCACATCAAATACAGTGGGACTTCTGCGTAAATATGCACAGTCTGCACTCATTTGACATGCTTCTTTGAAATCTGTTCAGAAATACCACTGAATTCAATTGAAGTTCTCCAAAGATGAATGAAACTATAATCTCAGGTAACCAACTACAGTTTGATTTTGATTACACAGAAAGGGAGAGTGATACAATATGAATCTACATACTATTCTGAAGCATAAATCTGATGAAATAACACAGAATGCATTATTTTGTAGTATGTGTTTCTCACTGTCTATCACCAAAGCTATTCTGAAGGTAGCTTCCAAACCTGTTGATTTTCAGGTGTAAGCATGGTAGATGTGCAAGTAGCATAATTAATGCTGCTTAATACAAGGTTACATCTAAGCTCTTAAATTTGCTTAAGATATCATAAGACATTGTCAATTCAATGAAAATACTGCTTAGCCTTCCATACTGAAGAATCACTTCAAATTAAGACAGTTCAACCAAACACTATTCACACAAAAATCATACAAATATTCTGTTGGCTATCATGCAAGTTCAGCCATTTTCATTCTGCCTGCATATAATTCAGTAGCACAAACAAGTTCAAGAAACAGGACTTAGGCAATCACAATGCCTAAATATGTGATAGAAAATCCTCAAGTATTTTCTTCTGAAGAAAACAGCTTTTAGAATTGTTATATAGGTTGACCATACACTTCCCACACCCCTTTGGGAAGCAATATCACATTCTCAGCTGTACAGTTACTTTCAATCTACAGAAGTACAGTTGCCCAAACTTCTAAGACAATCAGGAAATATTTCATACCAAAATATTTTCTGTAACTTACATCTTGAATTCTAAGTGAGCTCTAGCATTTCCATCCAAACTGAAATATCAAAAAAACCCATTAAGGTTAAATACAGGAAAGAGAGCAAAGGACAGCTGATTCAATCCACACAAAATCAGCTAACCTATACAAGAATTTCAGATTTTGGTCTCACAGCAAAGAAGACACAGTAAGTCCATACCATGGTTCAACAAAAATCTAATGGAACTATTTGACAGAAGTGTCAATTTTGAGCCCTACTCACACCACCCATGTATCTTATATTTAACATTACCAGTATTTAGCAATTTGTGAAAAATTTTCAAACAGTGGTGAATTGAAACTAGCTATCAAAATAATAAGAAAAAATAGAGAACATCCAGACTGAATATTCTATTTTTAAGCTTGGAGAAAAAGGTAAGAATGTACATCTATGGCAAAGGCAGATCCAATGGTTTACACAACAAAATGAGAGTTTTTACAACTATTTCCGTGCTGAAAATGGCCAAACATGTAAGTCTGCCCTACAGATTTGCTTTCAGTCTCTTCAAAGAAATAAAGGACAACATCAAGTACATATTAAAAACGACTGTTACAAAGTAAAGAGTACAGTATATACACAGAAAGAAAAAAGAGCAGGCTCTAAGGATAGCAAGGCAAGAGCCTGGTCAAAGAAAGAGTCTACCAAAGGAGGCCATATGCACTGAGGTAAAATGAGGGGATTTATGCCAGAAACTGACCTGTGCCATCGCTTGCAGAGACAGAGAGTGCCGGTGAGGAGAGTTTAGGCCTCTTGGCTGAAGGCGGGCCCGACTCCACCACATTCTCGGCCATTTTTAATTCTTTTTAGACAAACAGAACCCAAATTGAAAATGGGGATCCCCAATGCCGCGAACCTTCTTCTTGGATCCGGAATCAGCTGAACAACAATACGAGAAGGAACCGAATAAGAAAAGGACAAAGTTCCTCTTTTTCTGCCCCTCGGGATCGGTCTCCGTTGGGTAGCAGCGACTAAGGGGGAACAGAGATGGGAAACAGGGTGTGGAGGCAGTCTTTTCTCCGGGCCACAGGAAAGAACAAGGATAAAGAAAAAGAAAGCAAACCTCTTAAAAAAAAACAACTTAAGAGGGCTTGATGGATTTACGGGTCGAATTAAATTCGGCTATGTGGCTGTTGCTGCTTCCTCGCCGCCGCCAACACCACCATCTTCATCCTCCGGGGGGTCGTCGTCTTCTCCTGCTGCTGCTGCTGCCTCTTCGCCGCCGCCATCAACCTCTTCCTCCTCGGCGTCGTCCTCCTCCTCCTCATCGCCACAAGGAGGCGGACGAAGGAGGAGAGGAGGAAAAAAGGAGAAAGAATCGTTTTCCTCTGCTCGCAGTTCTTTTCCCCCTGTCCAAAATCTGCTTGCCACGGGGGATGGGGGAACAGCCACCGCTAGTGAAAAATTGACTGTGGAAGAGGGTCGCAGGCGGAGCGTATCGAGGGTCCCCAACTCCCCCTGCGCCTTTCTCGCCAGTCACTAATGGCTGCAGAAAAGGGAGCCAGGACGAGGAGGATGAAGCTAAGTCCCAGGAGTCTCTGCTTCACATCTTGTTGTGCAGGAACAAGGAGGCGGAGGAGGGGTTGTTGTCCCGATGGAGGCAGCAGAGATCCCGGGATGGGGGGTCGAAGAGGGTGGGCTTCAGAACTTGCGCCCCGCCACCCCCACCTCTCCTTCCTTTCTTTCTCTGTAGTAGGGTACCCCCCTTCTGGTCAGACGGAGGGATCGATCCCAGAGGAGGAGGAAGCGCCGGCGGCCCCTCCCCCCTTTTCTCTGCCTCTTTCCCCTCCCCGGGGAGAAGGATGGTTACGAGCGCTTGGTCTACGGAGAGGTGAAAACTCTCCTCGGAACTGGAGACGCGATGCCTCAAGCGCTTCTGGAGCGACTCCGTCTCATGTCCGCCATGGAGGAACCCGGGAAGGGGGCCGTAGAGCGAAGAAACGGCTCCCAAAATCAGAGCGAGGCGGCCTCCTGACCCCGCGAGCGGGCTCAATAGCCAGCAAGGGCTGTGGGTGGGGTCCACCCGGGGTCCCGAGTCTCTAGCCGAAGCCGGGAATGCGTACTCCCCTCCTGGCTGCGAGGCTAGTGTAGTGGGTGTATCACGAAGATTTCGGGTTGTCTCAGGTCTGGCCGGCCAGGGGGTTTAAGTTGCTGGAAATTCCTGTCGCTGCTTTCCCCCTCCCAGGCTTTGCCCGCCCAGCTCGGTCCCTCTCGGAGGCTCCCTCCCCTTGGTCGCTCACACACAAACAAAATGGCGGCTGTTGTTTCTTCACTCTCCCGATTCCTCAGAGGGAAGCAAGCAGCCGCGGCCGGAAATGAGCCAAGAGAAAAAGGGGCGTGGCTGAAAAGGAAAGGCGGGGACTCACGCAACTCACACACACAATGGAACGCGGAGGGCCCAGCGGTGGGGGAGAAACCGAGGCGGGGTCGGTGCTGTCACGAGACTAGGTTAGCCACTAGGCTAACACTCCTTCAGCGGTCTCTTCCGCAAACTCTCTCGCCTCAGCCAGTTAAAGGGGAGGAGACAGTTCTTACTGTGCTTCCTCCGCCCTTTTTGTTTTTTGGTCGGCGAAAATTAACCGTGAACTGGTTACTTGGGGCAGGCCCTGTTGTAAAGCAGGGAAGTAGGGGGAGCGGAGCTTGTATACCCTGGAACTGCCAATTCCCATGCTCCGCAGCGGAAGCTGTCTGAACGAGGGAGGCCTTCACATAGATAGCGGCACAGATGCACAAATTGGGGGGGAGGGGGAGGGAGAGAGAGAAGGAGGTTTAAACAGGGAAGAGAAAGACCAGGACTGGGTTGGCATTATATTCTCCCATCTATACACGAATGTAATAAAGGGGGGGGTTTGACTCTGCCTGTGTGTACGTACACATACTACATGAACATTACGGTGGCATGACTGAGAAGAAAATCATCGTACAGCCTCAAGGCGGCGGTGCAAATACCTTTTATCAAGCAATCTATTTTCTTGCGCAATTCCGTATTCTCGTTTTCCTGCAAGAATCCATGTCTGCTCCTTTTAAAATAAGGAAACTCGTCGAGAAGGGTTATTACATTAAAAAGACGATGGAGCGAGGTTTGAGTTGGGAGCGATGGCTTTGCTTCTATCCCAAGCCTGGTTTTTTTAATATGTTGTTAGGATTTTACCTTAACTTATCAGCGCTTTCGTTCTCAAAAAATCACGTCCTGCTCTAAATTGCGCGATTTAATAAAATGAGTTCATATAGGCTGCAAAAGCCCGCTGCCCTTCAATATGTTTTGTGTAAAGTTTAAACGATACAATCTCACCAGACGTCCAGAATTAAGCAGCAACACTTTCCCCTTTTCTAACAGAATAAAATCTACACTTCCACATTTCTTTGAAGCCAATTCACAGGCTCTCCGGAACTGGAGATTGCCTTTATTTTTTAAAAAAAGGTTTAAACTATGTGAAATTTGCTACCAGGATTGTTAATTAGCTACCACACACTATCATGTAATATGCCAGTACTATGTTCACAGAAGGCTTTCCTGACTCTGCTGTTTGATGTCTCCATACCAATGGTTTTATAATGGGAGAAACCAAACTTAATCAGTTTTGTACATTTTTTTCAATACACAATCCTTTAGGATAGTTCCTCTGGTGTGTTGAACTCAAAAGGCAGTTCTGTGATTTTTTGGTCCAGGCGTCCTACAAAGAAATGTGGCCTTGCCCAAACATCAAATCTGGTGAGGAATGCAAAATAGACTTTTGCATCTGCAAATGTATACTTTTGTCACCTATGTCCATTTTGCCTTCCTGGCATTCTGACTGCATGAATGTCTGGGCTAAACTTTGGTAATTCTGTTTGATCCATAATATTTTTAAACCATCTTTGTCTAATAAAGACTTTTGGAGCCTACCTTTTTTTAAAAGCCTGCCATTATCCCATAAAGATAGAATTTTTACTGTACTTTGTTATATTTTTAAGTGATCCATACTAGAAAAGTCATTAGATTCTCATAACGTACAGAGGTGGAGGAAGGCAACATGTGCCCAGTAACACCTAATAAACTGGGCCTGCTGAGTTATATTGATGGTTGCTGATTAAGGCAGGAAGATTTCTCCTACTTTACAGAAAAGTGAAGGGCAAAGAGAATGCAGACCATTACTGACACTTGCTTTTATTCCTTTTGTGTATACTCCATTCCGTTCCAGCTCATCTCTCTCTTGACACTGCTTTCAATATAATTTCATTATACACGATATACTCTGAAACCTAGTTACAGATGTGCAACCAGTACATGCAGGGCTAGGCCATCATCTGGTACAGAGGAAAGTGAGGTAGGGGAACAGGCCACACCACATGAACAACAACAGAGACATTCTGTTCCTCTGGCCCAGAAAATCTTGCTGAGTCCTACATTTTATAGAAGCAATTCCACTCTGCTAATCTGCAGTTTGCAATCTTTCTTTGATTGTTTGCTAGCTTTTTAATTTTATATATCTTCTTCCTATATTCTAATATTGGGACCCAATATGTCTCCCAACAAGATTTAAAAAGTAACTTCTGCATTGTACACTAATACATATGAGACTCTTTGGTACAGTATCTCCTGCAGCACTTGTACCACATCACACATGATTCATTTCCAGAGCAAGAATCTAAAAATGGCAGGCTGGCTTACATACAAGTAGGTCTATAGTAGCAGATTTGTTGAAGAAATTAACCTATGGAAGTCAGGCAGGCAGGTATCAGGACGTGGGTGTTGAACATGATCCTTTTTGAAAGTGTTATTTTTCATTGTCTCTTGCTCCCCCCCCCCCCCCGGAGCAGACTCAGTAGAGTTAAAATATTTGCAGCAGGTGATAGATATTAGGAAGGGAAGAGAAGGCTGGGAGATTAATTGTTATCAAATTAAAGTAGCATTATCATTATAATATAGACAAAAAAACTCACAGCCCCCCATGCTTTCCTTGCTTGTTTGCTCAGTGTTCTCTCATGTATAACTGTTGATAATTTTAAACCAACAGTATGAGCTTTTGTGGATTACAACCTACTTCTCCAGACATATCCATCTGGCACCTGGATATGTCTAAATAATAATCATGTGTTTTCAAGTCAATTCTGACTTATGGTGACAATTTTTGCCCTTTTTCCAGGTAGCGAATACTTAGAAGTTTTTTACCATTCCCTTCTTCTGGGGAACTGTACAGCTTGCCCAAGGCTGCTCTCCTCACAGGAGGCACAGTAGATAATCGAACACTGAATCTCTGGCTCCGCAGTCAGGCACCCAAACCACTGTGCTATTTATCCAGATCGTATATGTCTACGTAAGGGTATTTTAATCTATGAACATGCCCACTGAAAGAAATCAAATAGTCTTGACAATGCCACAAACTGTTTTGTCCACTTTTGATATACATACTGAAACAGACTAGCATAGTTACTTCTTTGGAAAGCATTCTCTCAAATTCTTCTGTGTTGTTATTATTTAACCTATGCTGTTAGCCCTGTCAATGTTAAAATTATTAGAATGTGCTGTGCTTCACCCTAATCAAAAGTTCAACCTCAGTGCCTTCTCTTTCATGTTCCCAAATCCATTATTTCATATTAGTGTATGTCTTCCTGTACTGTAACTCATTGAGTTTGCACCACCCTAAGAGTCCAGCAAAACCCTATGATCAGGTGCTACTAAGAGCTAATTATCTGTGAGTCCAGTTGGGACTTTGGGGAACTGCCTTCAAGATATAACTCAACAGTTATTAAGTAAATAAATCTGCAGTGTAAATTCAAATGTTTTAAATTTTTTTGGCTCAAGCAAACAAAAGAGGGCTATAGGGAAAATTATTTTGAGATGTAGCCAATGAACCTAGTTCATTAGTATCCATACTGAACATTTTTCTAGCTCTTGCTGATTTGGAAATCACCAGTTAAAAGGGGGTGGGTCGGGGAGAGGCAACCTAAGATAAAACCCACCAATATCCTGTTTCTAGCTCTTATTAGTCTCTTCTCTCTTGGACCATGTGCCCAAGATTTCTCCTTTGTTGGCACAGTTCTGGCAACCATTACAGTGCTCCCTAATTTCTCTTCAAAACAATATTAGGAGAATAAAGTTATCACCCCTAATCTATTTTAGGATAGTGTTTTCCCTGCATAATGGCAATGCCCCATGTATTCCCACATGTACACCCTTGGGACCTGTTCCTTTCCCCTTTCTCCTCCTTGCAGCCTCAGCACCTCAAACTGACTAGACCAATTCTTGCCACCTTCTAGAATTTGAATCCAACCCTCTACAGCTTGCCTCATCCTTTCAGTACCGTGTTTCCCAAAAAATAAGACAGGGCCTTATATTAATTTTTGCTCCAAAAATGCATTAGAGCTTATTTTCAGGGGATGTTTTATTTTTTGCATATACAATCAATGTTTATTCAAATACAGCCATGCCATCTTCTGGTTGCTGTACAGTGGTGGGGGGTGGGCTTTCACTTAACTGGGGTTTATTTTTTGGGTAGGGCTTACAATATATTACAAGCATCCTGAAAAATCATACTAGGACTTATTTTCAGGTTAGGTCTTATTTTCAGGGAAACAGGGTAGCAATCTGGATTTTTCAATCCCATCATCTTTGCAAGTTTACTTATTTTGTATTCGCGAAGGCTTTCACGGTTTAAATCTAATGGTTGTTGTAGGTTTTTCGGGCTGTCCTCTGAAGATGCCGGCCACAGAGACTGGCGAAACGTTAGGAAGAACAACCTTCAGAACATGGCCAAAGAGCGTGAAAAACCCACAACAACCATTACTTATTTTGATTTCGCATTTCCTCATTCTGAACTAAATGTATTTTAGTATCTAGTCACTTTATTTACCCGGTGTTTGCCATTTACATGGTTCTGCTGTAATATTCACTTGTGTCCAAAGTAATAACTGATGTGATCTAGTTTTATTCTTTAACAAGTACATATCTGGAAGTTAGGTCATGGCAACTGGACTTCTTTCTTATTAAGTTGAAATGTTTTGCTACTCATTCAAGTAGCTTCTTTAGTCTGAGGAGAGTTGGTAGGGGACCCCTGACATATCCTCCATGTTGGTTTCACTTTCCCCTGGTCTGAATAGGATCCTTAGATGGACAAAGGATGGGGTGGTGGTGAGTGAAAATCCCACTTCTGCAGTCCTCCTATACCCATTGTCGTTAACAGTTTTTTTTGTGGTGGGTGGGACTGCAGAAGTGAGATTTTCACTCACTCACTCTCTCTCTCTCACACACACACACACACATGTTCTTTGTCTATCTAATGAGCCTATTCAGTTGAGGCGAAAACCAATGTGGAGGATATATCAGGAGTCTCCTACCAAC